CAAGCTTTTCTTATATCATGTAGTAGTTAGAGCTACTTATTGTCCTGGTTGTAGATGTGTAAGAAATTACCAAGTAAAAGATTCTATGGATAAATACGTATGTGTGTGTATAGTTTTCCTTTTTTAAGCTGGTTTAAAGCATTTCATGCAAAATTCATTCTTTTAAATTTTAGTTTTAGATTCTTTAGTTTCTTACCAGAGTTACTTTGAGTGTTCTTAACAAATATCTAAGAAGTTGTGGCTCAGTGGTAGAATGCTCGCCTAGCACACAGACACTGGGTTCAGTCCTCAGCACCACAAAAAATAAAGGTATTGTGTCCACCTACAACTAAAAAATATATATTAAAAAAATACTGTAGTCACTATTAAATAAGACCTCAATTTTGTATTGTCTTATATGTATTTTCTAGTAAACATTACTACATAAAGACCAACTTTCATTGAAATAATATTTACCTCAAAATTTGTCTTTAAAAAAATTATTATATTGTGGTTATAAATATAAGACCTAGGAGTGTTTATGTGTTACAGGAAAAAGAATTTTGAAGTCAAATAATTTTTCATGTGCTGGATTATTTGGGGTTACATGGGTTTCTTTACTAGAAAACTTTTTAGAATATTAATATAAGTGGGCATTTTAACTATTTTACAATAAGATGTAACAGTGTTTGCAAAACTAATTTAAATATGAAATACTTATTTCTCAAATTGTTCTATAGAACACAATGTGAGAAACACTGGTATTTGATCCAATTAGTAGTTGTGCTAATTATTATTTTAAAAAGTAGAGTGTTTCACCTTGACTTATGAGTGCCATCCAGTTTATTCGTAAAGGGGTTAACCTTAACACTTGGATACTAGAGACAATCAGCTTCAAATGCGTTTGAGATCTTTTTAATTTGGGTATACTTTCTCTACTACTTCTACAGCTTTCTCTAAATGAAATGTATTGATGTGTACTATTGAAATATATTTTTAAAAGACTGATCATAAGACCTGAGTCCCCTGGTTTTTTCACTACAAGTTTGAGCTCTAAATGAGTGTTTAAATTCCTGACTCAGCACTCTACATGAAAGCTCTGTAGGCATCTAAATTCTGTCAGACCTGTGCTTTGCTCTTCCTTTCCCTTCCCCCATCTCACACTTTAATTTCTGTTTCCTATCTTGTCTTTTAGCACTGTTGTCATTCTTTTTAGTCACCCCACACCCCAGAGAATCAAATTCCTCTTGCATCTCATACATCAGGACTTCCCAGCCTTGGCATTGTTTACATTTTATGCTGGATAATTCTTTTTTGTGGAGAATTGTCCTGCGCTTTGTAGATATTTAGCAACATCCTCAGCTGCTACCCACTAGATGCCAGCAGTATCTCCCTCAGTTGTGACAATTGCAGTGTCTCTATAGACACTGTGAAATGTCTCCTGAGGTTCAAATCACTTCAGTTTAAGAAGTTCTGTTCTATATCCAATCTGTCAATTTATTGTTATTGCTTCCTAAATCTACCTTTAATCCTTTCTCATGTCTTCACCCTACTCTCTAACCTCCTATCCTCTCTTTAATACTTGAGATGGTTTAGTAAGGTTCTTACTGTGACCAGTGCTGTTTTTCTCCAAACCACCTCCTTCATTCAATTTATCTTTACAAAATGTAAAACTGTCCTGTTTTTAATTTCCATTGCTTCCAGTGGAAATCCTTAGAAACTTTCTAGCCTCATTTTTCAAAGGCATTGATTGTTCTTGCTACAGGTATTGGTGTGCTATGCCCTCTTGCCACGGTTTGTCTCCTTATGTATCAGTTTATTCATCATAGCCCTTAGTCACTTATTTTCAGAGAATCTATTATAGTGAAGAACATTTTACTTTTATTTTTAATTAGCATTTTACTTTTACTTTTACCTGTTTTCCCTCACCAAATTTTAACTTTTTGAGGATAGAGACCATCTCCATCCCAGTTTTGTTTTGTTTTGTTTGTTTGTTTGTTTATTTATTTGGTAATACTGGGGATCAAACCTAGATGCTGACAAGGTAAATGCCCTACCACTAAACTACATCCCCAGCCGCCATCCCAGTTCTTGGCACAGTAGATATTCAATAAGTGTGGATCATTTACTAGTTAGTATGCCCTGTCAGATGCAATATATTCTCATTACTTCTAGGAATTATATTCTCTATATTAGTAGTGATAATTATTCCTCAAGTCTTTATCTTTCAGACTTCAGTAGGTCAGCTTTTGATCACAGAAATCTTTTTTTTTTTTATTGGTTCAAAACATTACAAAGCTCATGACATATCATCTTCCATACATTTGATTCAAGTGGGTTATGAACTCCCATTTTTTACCCCAAATACAAGTTGCAGAATCACATCGGTTACACATCCACATTTTTACATAATACCATATTAATGACTGTTGTATTCTGCTACCTTTCCTATCCCCTACTATCCCCCCTCCCCTTCCCTCTCATCTTCCCTCTCTACCCCATCTGCTGTTGTTTAATTCTCTCCCTTGTTTTTTTTTTTCCCCTTTCCCCTCACAAACTTATATGTAATTTTGTGTAACAATGAGGGTCTCCTTCCATTTCCATAGTTTCCCTTCTCTCTCACTTTCTCTCCCCCCACTCGTCTCTGTTTAATGTTAATCTTTTCCTCATGCTCTTCTTCCCTGATCTTAGTTGCTCTCTTTATATCAAAGAAGATGATCACAGAAATCTTGAACTATAATTTTCTTTAAGAAACCATCTATTCATAAGATAATTGAAGAAAGTCATGTACTTAATTTTCAAATGTCATGCTTATAACTAGTTAAAAAAATTTATTCTGAAAGGAATTCTGTGGATTAACTAAATTGGGTGAATTAATGATGTGTGAAGAGTTTTTACCAGATGCAAAACATTGCATTTCCATTGGATTTGTTGATTGTTCATAGAAAGCTTGCAAAAGCAATTATTTTAACAGCTAATTTAGTTTTTTAGAAAATGTCAATCAGAACACATTTGTGTAATTACCATTCTGAACTACTTAGAAATCTAACTCCCCCATCAAATGAAAACAACAAAAAATTATCAAGTTAATAAAGAAATTGTCTGTCACCCCTGCCCCTTCCTTAAATGCTTTCATAGAGTTGTGTATGATTATATTTCCCTGAGTTGGAACTAGCAACAATCAGTCTGATCAACTACAATTTTACCTGGAACTGTGAAAAGTGAAAAAAAGAAAAATAGGGATTCTGAGGCTTTTGGAAGATAACCCAAGTTTTAGCATCAGCCTTACTGCAAGTCAGGGATTGATGGGGAAAAGGGAATGAATCTGCCTGGCTAGATAGTTAATAATTACTTATTAAATGAATCCATATATAATAGGATATAAACAAGAAGGGATGACTCTCTGCTTTTTTTTAGGGAGTGGCACAAAAATTGCTTTCAAAAGAAATTCTTTAATAGGAAGGTTTTCAGAAACAAAACTGGGAAAAAGCTAGGTTACCTATGGGAAAAATACCTCCCTTATTTAAAAATACACTGCCTTCTCAGGGCCACCGTAGAGAATGGGAGTCATATGATGCTAGCCCATCATTATTAACCTGAGGAGTTGCCAAGGACCCAGATTTGCTTTGACTATTTTTCTGATTCTCTCCTTTTTTTTTACATTAATATTTTTAATATTTTAAAGTAAAATTCATGAATTAGCTTAATATTAAACATTACTAGTTAAAATTCTCTTTAGGATTTTGAACTGCTTCAGAAAAGAAAGGTGTGTAGTAAAATGAAAAACATGTAAATCATTCAAACTGGGGAAAAAAGACAACAATAACAACCTGAAAAATGTTGTTTCCAAATAAGTTTTTACTCAGAATTTGAAAATTTTTGTATTGTAATGGCTCTGTTACATATGAACCATTTTATGTTTGTTTTCCATAATGTAACAATTTTTTTTTAATATTCTGAATTTGTATTTTTATTAGTTTTGGTTTTTAAATTGGAATTTTTGAAATCTCTTACATATTCTTAAGGCTCTACTTGATTTAAGAAAATGATATTTGTGGTTTTGAGCAATCCCCCCTCCACATTCTTCAATAAAGTATGTAAATGTATAGCGCATAAACTATGTAAACTTTCTCAGTAATTTAATTACCTGTTGTAAGTATTAATAATGTAGTTTTAAGTGAGTAAAAACTGGTAATCTCATAAGTGTCAAATATAAGGTACTTTATTTTAACAGCGTACAGTCCATTCTTATTATTCATAGTAGTTATGATCTATAAAGGTGTCAGGAACACTGAAGGGTCCAGCCAATACTGGACTATTACTTCTGTAGAAAATACAGTGTCATGTTCCTGCAAGCCTCTTGTCATAGCATTTTTGTTAATCAGCACAGAACTTTTCATTTTGTGTATTTCTTATAAGACACCTCATTTAATGTGTATTGTTGCTGCATTAACACTGAACTAATGGCCAACAGCACTATTAATCCTTGCCTGAATCAAGTTTATCTAACACATATTTTTCTCCATAAGGTACATTGTAGCCTTCTTGCACCCAGGAACAGAAAGCATTTAGCAACTCTTCAGCAGTATGCTGAGGGGCCATTTTAAACTGAAAGCACCAACAATGAGCATAAAAATTCCAAAAAATGTGCTAAATAGATTGCAAAAGGGACACTTGTTATGTAGTATGAGTGCCGAAACAAGAAAGTAGAAATATCGTCTTGTTCCACTTTAGAGGAAACATGCATATCAGGACACTCAGGTTTTTCCACTGTTTTGGGGTCTCAGTGAAAGACTGAAAGAATGCCACAAGTCTTAATTTTGGAGTTACAAGTAGTAGAGTTTAGTGTGTAGGTGAATTCATGTATATACAATCTCTGAATAAGATGGACTATAATGAGGGGGCGCGGTATGTGGGTGTTGTGTTGACTAAACAAAGTCACCTTACAGTTTTCATGTTTTCTCATCCTGTGGAGTAAAACTGGCTGCTTTCAGTTTGTCGTTTTCTTTTCTGCTATGCAGGGAACAACCTATCTTCAGCACTCGAGCTCATGTCTTCCAGATTGACCCAAACACAAAGAAGAACTGGGTACCCACCAGCAAGCACGCAGTTACTGTGTCTTATTTTTATGACAGCACAAGAAATGTGTATAGGATAATCAGTTTAGATGGCTCAAAGGTAAGTTACTCTAAATAATCTTGCTGTTTTGCTTTATATAGCATAGCATTTCAGTTTTATTCAGATTTTATCTTCATTAAAATATTTCTTTTTGAATTTTCAGAACTTTAAAGAAACAAAACTGATCATTCTTAGAGTAGCTACTTTTTGTTGTTGTTGTTCACTGCATTGCTTGAATTAACCATCTGATGTTGAATTATATGCCACAAATATTCTACAAATTTAAGATCATTCATTTTATTTAATATTCATTGCATATCTCTTTTGTGTCGGGCACTATGCCAGGCAGTGTGAGTAGAATGAACATGATTGAGAATTCTAGGATCTAGAATTTTTTTCTTATGTACTTTCATATTAGTTTTTTTTTTAATTACTACAACAAAATACCTGACACATGCTTCTTATGAAGAAAGAGGCTTATTTAGCTCATAGTTTTGAAGGCTGAAAGTCCAAATAGCATAGTTCAGGCTTGATAAGTGCTACCCCTTATTTGCAGTGCTGCTTGGCGATAGCTATGATGGGAATGCACTGGAGAGCAAGTGATTACATCTTGAACCAGGAGCAGAGAGAGATGAGTGGGGCCACACTAGCATAAGAGCACAACCCCAGTGACCTGAGGACCTTCCACTAGGCCCCATCCTTGAAGGTTGATTAGAACCTCCCTCTAGTCTATGAACTTTTGGAAGAACACAAACCATAACCCATGGTAACTTCTTTAGACTAGTAGGCAGTTAAAAAAAATCCCTGAACCATATGAAGTCTGTCAATAACAATACTAAAACGGACAGTCCTTATCTAAAGACAAATATATGAACAGAACTTTAAGGTTTTATATTTAGGAGAGGCCAACAGTAACATATAAGAACAAGGACAGCTTGGGTTCAACTTTCACTTCCACCAATTATCGAATATTTTGACTTTGAATATGCCTGGTAGATAGTGTACCCTTCAAAGGGAGGAAAATCTATTTTATCATCAGTGAATTTTATCTAACTGACTTAGATAAAGAAAATCCAATCATCAAATTGTGGATGTAAAGTGTGTGGAAAGATGAAATTCATTCTCTCCTTCAAGCTTCCTTGAAACCATGAGTTTTTGTGAGTCCCCAGAATTTTTAGCAAATCACTATAGGAGTTAAGAGGACAGACTCTAGAGCCATACTGTTTTTGCTAGTCATGTGACCTTTCACAAGGTGTTTAACTTCTGTGTGCCTCAGTTTTCTCATCAGTGATAAGGAACTAATAAAAACACCTAGATTAGCATTGTTGTGAGGAGGAAATAAATTTAAACCAAATCACAAAGTGTGTTTAGTAATCACTCTAAATACTTTTAAACTAGATTATAGGACCTCAGGGGCTATTTGCAATTTGTGTCTTGTACATAAGTAACATATTTACTTGAATAATTGGTCCTCTTTTCATTTTTACTTGGAAGATTGAAAGGACTTGAGGAAATAGTAATAGTTAATTTCTGTGAGGTGTTATTTAACGAAGAGTTATTTTGCATACTTTGTAACTGGTTTAATGAAATGCAAGAGGTAATGAATGTTATTGTCTCAGGGTTTAGAGTGTTTATTTCTTTTTTAAAAAATATTTTTAGCTGTAGATGAACATAATACCTTTATTTTATTTACTTTTTTTTTTTTATGTTAAGTACTGAGGTTCGAAATCAGTGCCTCACATGTGCTTGGCAAGCACTCTACCACTGAGCTATAATCCCAGCCTGGAGTGTTTCTTTTATCTGACTTGTAGCTTCAATTTCTGTAATATCTTGTCTCTTGACCCAAACCACAGAAATTTTATTAGATTAGGAGGGTTAAATGGTATGCAAAAATGAAGGTCAACTGATGTAGTTCATGTCCAAGAAAAGAAATTATATGGAAGTGATTAAATAGATTTCAGTTGCTCACCTTATCCAAGTTAAAATGCTTTGAGTTATTCTCAAGGAAGAAAATTGGTGATTAAAAAAATCCTCATGTGTTCTTCCCTCTGAAGCAATGTGAATTATCCTTTTTGTGTTTCCATTTCTGAATATGCTTTGCTGCTTATAATTATTAGACTCAACTTTTTGAAAGAGTTTTTGTATTCAACAAAACTAATCGTCTGTAGCAGTTATATTTTCTATTACATTTTCCATTCTCTAGCTACTTTTCTAAACTGATGCTGTTAATTACAGCCGTTCTTACAGGAGGAGTTGTTTCTTGATGAGCACTAGTAGTTTACTTGACTAATGAGTGTTTTTCCCCTTCTCTCTCTCACCTCCTTTTCTGTTCTTCCTGATTAAGGTAAAAAGCCTGTAGGTGTCCCTGAGTAGAAAATGTCATTTATTCTTGTTCCTGTACTGTGCATAAAAAGTTTGCTTTAAGGTTTTCTGATCATGCTGCAGAGACATTGCATGGCTGAGAGCCAAGATTGGGGCACTACATGATCTGTAATGACACAGCATTTCTACCTCCTTCCCTTAAAAGGACAAGAACTCCAGGGTTGAGAGACATGTTTATTTTAAAGCACTAAATTTTTTTCTTTTAAAAGATTAATAGTAGCATTCTAATTAAAGAATCTAAGAATTAAGTTTTTTAATTATGGAATTATCTGTTGTTTTAAAGTTTCTCTTCAGCGATTAAAGAACATGTAGTACAGAGGCAGGAAAAGATTCAGTGGAGATTAAAGTGAAACTTTAACAAAGCAGAAAGAAATTAATATGAAATAGTTAAAATGGGATTCAGTGACCAACAGCATATTGGTCAGTTTTCTTAGATACCTGTAAAGCCTTTTGCTACTCCCACTTTTTGAGTGTTGTTAAGGTCACATGTAAAATGTAAAAATGTCCTTATTTCCTTGAAAATACTCCCAGTTCAAATGTTCTCCAGAGAACACTGAAGGCCCACCAAATACAAATCAATGCCTGCTGTCTGTGTCTGCTTGCCCGCACTCTCCATTACATCTGGTTTCACAGCACTAAGCACTCTCTGAAATTATATTATCAGCTATTTATTTACTTGTGCATTGACTGACTCCTCTTATTATAGAATGACATTCATAATTGCCTTTCATATTATTGTTTCTCAGATTTCTAGATAAATCTATCTAGAGTGTAACTCAAGAAAAAATGTTGACTAAATGATCCCTTACCGATTGTTTATAAATTTTTTCCCTTTAATTTTTCATTTTATGACAGCTCCACAAGTTAGAATAGTTGTTTGCCACATTTTTACAGTTCTAAAATATGCTGACAGAAGCCATTTTGAACTGAAAAGTAAGGTAGCTTATATTAGTGTGAATATATAAATTTTGTCTGGGGACAAGTGCTCTCATATAATAACAATAAAACATCTACTGACTGAGAAAAAGGGGCAAATTTCTGTTTTATCATGTTTAATAAGGCAGTTATCCATGTATTATACATTGTTATAATGACATGGATGCCTACATGGCATAACTCATAAATATTTTAGGTTATGCCGTTGTTCACATGTTAAACAAATTTAGCTTTGTCTGAAAATGTTTGATTTTCTTCCTACTTTTTAATGGTTAATCAGATGGTTGCTTATGAATTTGATAATGTTTTTTTTGGGGGGGGTACCAGGGATTAAACTCTGGGGCACTCGACCACTGAGCCACATCTTTTATTTTTGTATTTTATTTAGAGACAGGGTCTCACTGAATTGCTTAGTGCCTCACCATTGCTGAGGCTGGCTTTGAACTTGGGATCCTCCTGTCTCAGCCTCCCGAGCTGTTGGGATAACAAGCATGCACCATCACGCCTGGCTTTGATAATTTATCTTTTTATTATTATTGGAGTCATATTTTAATCTTAATTTTGGAGGTCAGTAGACTATCCAACTAAAAATAATTGTCTTTCTGATACTGACCAAAAGCATGAATTAATATAATTGTTAAATTATGATCACCAAAATTAGTTTTAATAACATGATAAAATGTTAGTTTTTTAAGAAACAGTTAAAAGAGAATGATATTGTCATGACTCTATACTCTTCTATGAGAAAAGAAGTAAAGTTTATTTATTTGTTTATTGCCTTGAGTAAAGGAAAAACTACTCAATAATTGAAAGTTTCAGGTAAATCAGCTTTGAGAAACCCTTGATTATGGGTTTTAGAAAAATAAACATTTTTTTCTTCTGTATTTTCTTTTCCTTTTTTGGTATGTGTGTTTGAATCCAAGGGTACTTAATCATTGAGCCACATTCTCAGTCCTTTTTATTTTTTTATTTGGAAACAGTGTCTTACTAAATTGCTTAGGGCCTTGATAAGTTGCTGAAGATCATCTTGAACTTGTAATCTTTCTGCTGCAGTCTCCTGAATTGCTGGGATTTTAAGCATGCATCACTGCCTGGGCTATTTTTTTATCGGTATATTCATTTTTGAAAGATTTTTTTAGAGAGTGGGACCTTCCTTTTAAATATTTAACTACTATTATGTCTAAAGGCCTATTTCCAATGAATATCATCCAAAATTAATAAATATTGATCCTAACTATTTAAAGGGAAGAAACTCTTTGATATTTTTTAGATTACAGGAAAATTTATTTTGAATATAAGATGTTAAAATTTTTGATCGACAGATGCCATTATATTTATATTATATTAGGTACCATGTTTCCACATTGTCATTTACAATGCTGGAAACTAGTTCTACAACTGTCTTTATATATTTAACATTGAGACTTACAAGTAATTCTAAATTTTTATGTAACTAAATGTTCCTGTGTTTAAATGCCTGTTTGCCAATTTTTGGCTGCTTGTTTTATTTTTCAGGCAATAATAAATAGCACCATCACTCCAAACATGACATTTACTAAAACATCTCAGAAGTTTGGCCAGTGGGCCGATAGCCGGGCAAACACTGTTTATGGATTGGGATTCTCTTCTGAGCATCATCTTTCAAAAGTAAGTTAAAGTATAAGATCTGAGTGAAAATCATCTTCAGTTCACATCTTCAGTGTATATTAGCAAATGGAGAGTATAAAATATAGGAGAAATTTGTTTAATAGTCTTGGAACAACTGTAGTGACTTTACAGCAAGAATAGATCATTGACCACAAGAATGGGATCTTAAGTATAATAAGTTATACTCCATGTATGTATAAAATATCAAAATACACTCTACTGTCATGTATATCTAAAAAGAACTAATTAAAAAAATCACTGGATTCTTCTTTCTTTTTTAAAAATATTTATTTAGTTATACATGGACATAATATCTTTATTTTGTTTGTTTATTTTTATGTGGTGCTGAGGATCGCACCCAGGGTCTCACACGTGCAAAGCGAGCACTCTACCGCTGAGCCACAACCCTAGCCCCTGGATTCTTCTTTCACTCGGAAACTTTATTGTATACATTAAAAATAGCTATCATTTGTTAAGAGAATTTGTGTGGTTAATTATTTGTATAATAGGAAATAAAAGATGGGGATTAATATTTCAGAGGCATTTTGCTCAAAGATTTGCATTCTCAGATGGAGATAAGGTAGGGTAGACACCAGCCTCTTCTGAATGGTGAAAACTGAAGCTGATAGTGATATAGATTTCAGCTTTTATATGACAACAGGCACATATAAATTTTTGAGTTCAGGAAAAATTGTGCTTTATCTGAGTGTAGAGTACTCTGAACTCTCTGATGCAATACAGAGTGGGATCCAGTGGTCACATGAGGACTTGGGTAATACTAACCAAGTAAATTACTTTGGCCAGAACAGCCAATAAAACATGAAACATCACCAGACTAACTACTGGAAATAAAGCAGTTGGCCTTGCTATAAGCAGAAGCCATGCCGTGTTCATACCAGTAGCACCTAGAGTTCTTATGGATGTTATACAGAAAGAATATATAAGGAAAAGGAAACAATCTCAGGATATTAAGATGATCAAGAAGATGAATTTTACTCTGCTTTCCATATTTTGCACCCACCAGACCTAAAGATTTATGATAAAACTGCTGTGTTTGAAGTATTCTGTTAAAAAGATAACACCATGTTTGAAACATTTTGTGTATGATTTGGTGTACACAGATTCTGATGACTTGATTATTAAAATTGTGCAAGTGCAGAGTGACCAGGCTCTTGTAGATGGACACTGTTAATATTTACCTTAAGGGGCTGGGGTTGTGGCTCAGTGGTAGAGCACTTGCGTAGCATGTGTGAGGCACTGGGTTCCATTCTTAGCACCGCATATAAATAAATGAATAAAATAAAGGTCCCATCAACATTTTTAAAAATTACCTTAGCAATTTATTGCAGATATCATTCATATTTTTTAAAATGAGCTTTTAGAAAAGCTTATACTTTAGTGAATATTATACATAGTTCAATAGTTGAAATAATCTACTATGTTCTCCTTTAGTTATAGACATTTCTTACTTAACACTAATGTTTTCAGGTGTATTAATTATAGTTTGAAGCTCAATTTTAAGACTATTTTAACTTTTGCCTTTGTGATTATTAGTCATTCTCTTTACAATGATTAAAACAAATAGGGGTTATGTGATTTTGTTTCTCTTACACATGCCTTATTCCAGAAATATATTTCTGGAAGTGTAGTATAGTTATGAGTTTTAGATTCAGAGTATCTCAACATAACATGGAGCATTGCCCTTCCATCAACAATTCCCTTGGAAAATTATGTTTATTCTAACACATTTGTTGTTACTTAGAACCTTTTTAGAACTTTTCTTTTGGAACTGTCTATTAAAACTGGAGCTGAAAATAACACACATACTTCACTCCCCTTCCCGCCAAAAAGAATATTCCACTTGTTGAATTTCTTGATTTTATAGTACAAGAACTAAATTGTGGATTGATTTCTCAAGTAAACTTGCACAAGATGATTTTTAGGCCTAAGTAATTTTTTTTAAATATTAATTTTTTAGTTGTATTTGGACACAGTAACTTTACTTATTTATTTAATTTTATGTGGTGCTGAAGATCCAACCGGGCCTCACATATGCTAGGCAAGCGCTCTACTGCTGAGCCACAACCCCCGCCCCAGGCCTAAGTAATTTTGATGATAAATTCTTTGTTACATCTTTCGAATTACTGAGCAGCTAGCTAATATAGTAAAGGAATAGTTTATTAAATTCTGTCCATCACTGTCTCTTATTTGGTATTTTTGTCTGAGAATGGCTTTTATTTTTCAAGATTTTTTTTCTCATTAAAGTTAGCTAATACTGGGCTGGGGACTCAAGCGGTAACGAGCTTGCCTGGTACGCGCCAGGTGCTGGGTTCGATCCTCAGCACCACATAAAAATTTAAAAAAATAAAGATGTGTCCACCGAAAATTGAAAAATAAATATTAAAAATTTCTCTTCTCTCTCTTCTCTCTCTCTCTCTCTCAAAAAAAAAAAAAGTTAGCTAATACTTTTAACCAATTATTACTAGTGTGAACCCTGTTATTTTAAGGTAGATTGAATATTGAGAAACATCCCTTAAGCTCCTGGAGGCAAGTCTGATTCATTTATGTATTGGATTTGTAGCTCAAAGAGTGTTAAGATCAGCATCTTGTGAATGTGTTGATCCACAGATCCAGACAAAAATTATGATTTATTTTCCAAGCTACCTTGAGGATTAATTTCGGTGCTTTTCAAATTGTAGGGAACTCAAAGGAATTTATAATCACTTACATAAATGAAGCAAGCATATAAATATTCTGGTTTGTTTTATTAAAAAACCATGAGTGAGTCAAAGCATTACAAGGGTTTGGAGAATGCTCTGAAGACAATTGTAGATAACGCCTCTAAAAACAAAGGGAAGCTTCATGATTGGAAGAAATGTATGGTCGCCTAAGGTTGATAGATGTGAGCAGAATTCCAGCTATACTTGGATCATTAGCCGGCTTACTTAAGTTGTATTTGTTGTTATGGCAACTAAAGCCATCATGTTTTTCTTTTGCTGAAAACTAAAGATATAAAAATAAGCCATAGTATTTATGAAGTTGAAAGGATTTTAAACATAAAATGTTTTGCAATGTTAAATTAGCAGAAGAGAAACCATGATTATATAAAGAGAATTTAATTTAAATTGTTTTTCTTTCATTTCCACCAATGTTTAGACTTTAGCTTTGTATTAAATTTTTTTTTTTTTCATGTAAGAGGATATTCTGTTTCACTAGAGAAGTATAGTAGCACAGATTCAGTTCCTTGGTCTATCTCCCTGGATGTGGAGGTGACAAGGTTAAAATAAGAAGGGAAAGTTGTGATGATGACATATCATAAAATACAGAGATTTTTTAAAATATAGCTAATAGAACTTAGTCTGCCTCATTTTAAAGCCTATTTAAGTCCAACAGTTGGAACATCTTGTTTATGTTTAGCACTGAGTCACAAAGATTATAGATTTTACAAAAGAATCACTTTTTCCTTTAATGAATTAAATTTTGACTCTCCTCAATCTCTCAGGGCAAATCAGTCCTTTCCTCCCAAAACTTTCCTTCCCAAAACTGAAATCAGTGCTTGCTTGTGTGAGCTTGTAAAGGAAGCTATAATTTCATATTTTTATTACCAACTCTAACAGGTATTTAAAGTTACACAGACAATTTAGGTTTTTAAATTTAGTTGTTTTGTTACTCTCTGCTAATAGTCATATATTAGCCTCACTTCACAAACATTTAAAATGGGTAATATTTGTAGGCATGATGTTTTATGGTTTTCTGTAGGTTTCTAAGAATTAGTATTTTATGAGCAGAAATTTTTGTTTTGAAATTACCAATCTTAAAAGACCTATGTAGAGTGTATTATCTTTTTCTGGTGGTGTACCTCAGTTGCTTAGAAATATTTGGAAATGAATTTTTATTTGTCAGTTAGTGATAATAGTAAATGTTACTATTTATAACATTGAAAATAAAATGACTTAATTAAAAGCATTTTTTAGTACTGTGATTTTTATAAGTACTTAAGAAATTCAATTTTCTCAGTGATAAACAATATAGTATGCTATTTTTTTTAGTTGTAGATGGATGCAACACTCCTATTTTATTCATTAATTTCCATGTGGTATCGAGGATCAAACCCAGTACCCCACACATGTGAGGCAGTTGCTCTACCACTGAGCCACAAACCCATCCCCTAGTATGCTATTTTTACTAGTTTTAGTACATTATTTTTGAGCAACCAAGGAGGTATATAGATAAGCTAGCTGACACCACATTCTAACTTCATTATATAGTGATGCTTTTGAATGAAAATTTGTCTAAGTATGTTATACCCAATGAATGTTTGTTGTAGGGCTTCTTTTTCATATTATAAGCTATAATTGCTTTGAAGGCTACAGTGTTTGTATGTTAATTATTCAGAAAATGAAAGACAAATACAGTAAAATTGGGCACTGTGAGTTTGGCTAATGTATACAGTCTTTATACATTCAGTTTGCAGAAAAGTTTCAGGAATTTAAAGAAGCTGCTCGCCTGGCAAAGGAGAAATCACAAGAGAAGATGGAACTTACCAGTACACCTTCACAGGTAGTATTTCATTTCTATTTTTGTTTATGAGCCTTGTTCATTTCAGATGGTGCCCTTTATGCCAGATCAAAATTTGTGGAAATAGCAAAATTAATTTCCAAAGTGGATATAGAAATGTACTTTTTTAGTTAATATCTAATGGTAGACAGATTTTTTTAATCAAAGGGAGTATCGAAGATGCTTATATTTGGGAAATTCTGTGAAATATAAAAGAATAAAGAAATATGTTAAGTTCATCAACATTTGAGAGCCAAAATATACAGACCTTAATTTATCTTTACAAAACATTGAAATTTTATCATTGATTTAATGTATTCCTAGCCAGAGGAATACTAAGAACAAAAAATTTAATTTCTCTTTTCTCCCTGTGTTCGTCAGTTTTCCTTCACCGTGGCAAAATATCTGACTTAAACAACTTAAAAGAGGATAAATTTATTTTGGTTCCAGTTTTCAGAGGTGTTAGTAGTGTATGATCATTTGACCCTGTTGCTTTGGCCCTGTGTCAACACAGTGCGTCATTGTGGAGCAAACTGTTCCCCTCGTGGCAGGCAGAAAGCAAAGACAGAGAAGTAGTAATTGGAGTCCCAGTATCCCTTGCAAGGCATGCCTCCAATGACCTAACTTCTTTCTACTCTGCCTCAACTGCTAAAGGTTCTACCACCCTTCAACGTGCTGTTAACCAAGCATTTAGCCTATGGGCCTATAAAATCCAAACCACAATGCTACCTTTACTCCTTTTGTGACAATTTGTAATATTTGTCTTGTGTGAATCTTATGGCCCCCAGCAATTCTTGCCCTACCTGATTTACTGTTTTACCCAGTCTTTTTCATTAATGTTTTGCCTGAAAAATAGACTTAGGGATTCAGCAAAAAGGAAGTTAAATAGGATAATCAATAAGTGATTAAGTGGAATAATGGATGATAATAAACAATTGGTCATAGCTTTTGTTTGGTTTGAAGGTAACACACTGCTTAAGAGTATACATTTTTTTTTTTTTTTTTGGTAGTGGGGATTGAACTCAGGGGCATACAACCATCGAGCTACATCCCTAGCCCTATTTTATATTTTATTTAGAGACAGGGTCTCACTGAGTTGCTTAGTGCCTTGCTTTTGCTGAGGCTGGCTTTAAACTTGTGATCCTCCTGTGACAGCTTCCCAAGACAACGGGATTACAGGAGTGTGCCACTTCGCCTGCTAAGAGTATGAATATTTGAGTCAGAAGAAGACATGTGTCCTTTTTCTGTCACTTTATGATCTTGGGAAAGTTGTTTAACCTAGTGTGTTTGCACATCTGTAAAATGAGTGTTACATTACTTATTTTACAGAATTGATGTGAAGAAAAATATGATAACGACAGTGTCAGGTCATAATTAATAATGTGGGCTGTAGGCCATTCATTCTGAGTATGAATCTTGGCTCCAATCTTTACTACTTTTATGAACTTAAGACAAGTTGCTGTTTTTAGGGGGCGTTTTTTGGTCTATAAAATGTAAATATGAATGACATATCCTTCTTAGAGTTATTGTGAAAATTAAATGGGGATCAGAAAATGCTTAGTATATATTAAATGAATGCTCAAGAAATATGGACAACTGTTCTTGATGATGTGGTTGTAAAGGTGAGGATAATGATATAAAGGAATAAAATAATATCTGGCACATAACAGTTATCTAGAAAAGACATTTACCTTAATCGTATAAATCCTGAATCAAAATTTCCTGGAAGACTTGTTAAAATACAAATTGCTGAGTCCCACTCACAGTGTTGTTTATTTAGTAGGTCTGATATGGGGCCCAAGTATTTGCCTTTTTGTTACCTTTTCTCAGAGGATGCATATGCTTTTGGTCTGGGGACCATCTTTGAGAAAAATAGTGCTGTGGGTAACCATTCCACCTCCCTAAAGCCTTGAGATGAAAGGAGTCTGGCATTTAGAGCAGTTAGCCAATTCCCCATTCTTAGACTCTTGAGCTAGGATTATACACTTGACTTAGTACATAGAGAGTTAAAGCTGAGATGAGCCTGGAAAGGGACCATTATAGCAGAGGTTAAAGAGACTGTAAGAAGTCTTGATGAGTTTGAAGAGCAGGTAGAAAGAGAATGGGATAGGAGGACAGAAGCATAAGCTCTCTCACCTGTTGGAACCAAAACCAGTTAATAATCTGTTAATTTAAAAAGTCAGTTAATGTGAGAAAGTTAAAAAAAATTACTTTAAAATTTGTAAGTTTAAATCTAATAATATAATTTTTATTCAGTATCTTGATGTAAATACATATGAATGTCAGTTTTTGTCATTTTTCTGCCAGTTGTTTATTATAATATATAACACATGCTATTCAGTTGCCATAAATTGGTTTGGAACAAATGAAGTTTGCTCTTTGTCAAGCATTTAGTGCAACAGGTGGGTACAAAATTCATAAACAGAGTGGAGATTAACCCTATAGCTCTGACCATCATCGTTCAGTTGGTATGCTGTACAATAGGAAAGGAAGAGCATGGGTTAATCTAGAGAGTCAGATTGATTGATTGTTTGATTTTCACAGTGATGGGAATTGAACACAGGTCTTTATGCATACTAGCCAGTGCACAACCACTGAGATACACCCCCAGCTCTGCAGTACCTCTGTGGATATTAAAATGGGATTTTAAAAAATCATGACTCTAGATGGTGACTAAGTATAGGGAATAATTTACAACAGAAGGTTAGGAAATACGTCTTGAGGTCTTGGCCCCATCTTCCTTTATGTGTCTGTTTGCTCTTCTGGTCTCTTGCCTCTATCTCTACTGACTGGAATCTCAAAAATTGTTAGCTCCTCTTCCAGTTTTTCCTGTCAGAGCCTCTGATTAGGAAAGACTGGGGTTCTCATCTTCATTCAAGTATGAAAAACTGGAGTGGAATGGGTCTCCCATGAATGTTAAATGATAAAGGATCCTGTTTACTGTTTTTGTTTTTGTTTTAAGTGATACTGGGGATTGAGTCCCAAGTCCTCATAAATGCCAGGCAAGTGCTCTACCACTGAGCTACATCTATAGCCCTCGTTTTTGTTTCTTGAGACAAGGTCTTACCCAAAGTATGTGCCTTCATGCCCAGCCAATCCTGTCTTACTTAAGTCAAAAAGGAGAAAACTTGAACAGGAATTTTAATTTCAGGCTTTGTTTGGATTAAAGGGAAGGTGATAGTGGTACTGGGTCTGTCTAGGGCGGAAGGACAATGATGCTCCAGGTCCCCACTACTCCGTCTCCCAGAGTTGGTCGTCATAACACCCTAAAGGCTGGTCTCAGAGTGCTGGACACATTAGTTTCTTTTTCACATGATTTAGAATATTCTTAGTTTTTTATTTTTTTCTTTCTTGCCATTTCATAAATTGATAATGAAAAAGAATTCTTACCAAGCATTTCTTGACTTTTATATCTACACTTTTTAATTTTTTTTTTAATGATCTGGACATGTCAGTCAGCCTTCTTAATATTCACTCAGATTTTAATTTTCAAAAATACATTTGTATTTATTTTGACTATCATTTTTCTTTTTCTGATTGTAGATTATTTGTTTTGGTGGGAAGCATGGGGAGAGTTTCCCAGAAACTGTGAGAAGCAAAGTGAGACATGAGTGGTTTTATTTTCTCAAAATAAGACATAAAGATAATAGAGGCCTCATTAGATCTCTTTTTGTTTACATTTACTTTTTTTGCATTTTTCAATTATCAGTGTTGGTTTATATATACATATAGATATGAATACAGACACATGTGTGTGTGTGTGTATATATATATATCTCAAACATTTTAATTGATATCATGTAAATATCAGCCGTATTAGCTTAAGAATTTCTTCCTAAAGAGCAGTTATCCTTTTTTTCCACAAATTTTGTACTCTAATAATTATAAACCTCAAGTTTTTTATTTTAACTTTTGACTCAAAGATATAAAATGTTGGTTTGTGGACAGAGAAGAGTATTTTTTAAAAGAATAACGAAAGTTGATTATTCACAAAATTAACACAAACTTTAGATAGAAAAAGAAATAGATATTTAGAATATGTTAAATTAAAAAACAAATTTCACAGGGCTATTTTCAGCATATACACAATGTCTAGAAGTTTTCACAAAACACTTGGCTATTCATAGACTACTTTTGTATAGTTGGAAAGAAAGGGGTTTTTATTTTCCTGTTATGCTTTTATGGAGCCTTTTCTTGTTCCCATGGGCACATATTAACTATTTTTTTTAACTATACTTTGAGTAGATTTTTTGTTTTTCATTTTAGGTATAATTATCTAGGATAACTAAATATCTCTTTAGTTAACAATAGTTAATATTCTAGTTCTCTGAAGAAAAGTCTGCTGCATTGACATGTTGAAATTATTGTAATCTCTATCCCTTTCATCTTCCCCTTCCTTCTCACTTTAATTTGCCTCTGACAGTGGTCTTCCTACTTCTGCAGCATCAATATTCATAGCCTTCCTAGTTCCCCTGCTTCAATTCCATTATGTTTATTTTATCCTGTAGAAACAGGAGTATTTACCCCAGAAGGAGGTAAAAATGTTGCTCCTGTTCCTCTCTCTCAATCCTAATCTCCTTTCGTCCTCCTTGTTCTTCTCCATTGCTTCTGGAAAATTCTTAAATCCCTTAATTGCTAATCCTAGGGATGCCCTTTTAGTTTAACAAGGTAATTTGTTTGTATTATCATTTCTATTAAATAAAATCATGGCCAACTTAACTGTTTAGTAAGTTAGACAGCCAACCTTGATTGACTTAGTTTGCTTTGACCTGTCTGGCAGGGGGAGGGGGGATTGGGGGGCAGACCTGACTTATTAATACCAAAGATGATAATCTCATGTTTTTTTACTGGCTGCTTAAGCTTTCTCTGACTAATTAATATGGCCCATGACTGACCAAGAAGTGTAGTCACTTTGTGGATATTGTTCCTATTATTCACCTAAAATGATTTGACTTTGTTGTAAAGCAATTTAATGTTGTCATACTATACTGTAGACTTTATTCTCTCATGATCTGTTAGTTAATGGAAACAAAAAGAATTTAGGAGAAAGATTTAATAAAGAATAACATTGAAGGTTAAATAGATATTCCATTAATAATTGAAAAATGGATAAATGATAATGCGAAATTAAGAAACTGTTCTTTTGCTTTGCCTGGTTGTGCTCACCTGAAGTCGAGCACTTGGGAGGCTCAGGACAGGGAGCATCACCCTAGCCACATAGTGAGACCCTGTCTCAAAAAAAGAAAAACTTCTTTTTCATCGTTGATAGCTTGTCTAATTTATAGTTTATTTAAATATGAAACAAAAAGCACATAGTAATAGTAAGCCAGAAGTCCCATAAAAGAAAAATTTATCACAATTAATATTTTTGCATGTTTTTAGCTGTTCATGTACATTTTTAAAGTATATGGGTTATCATAACCTAGATACTGCTTTATATTCTCATTTTTCCGATTATTAGCATTTTCCTATATTGATAATATCTAACTTTTTAAATTTCTTTCAAATTGGCAGATTATGATCATACCTAACCACTCTGTTAGACACTTAAGTTTTCATTTTCTACCTCACTATAGATGAGTATTTCAGTACAGCCCAGGTATCATAAGAGGTTCCCCAAGCTGCTCTTTAACAGTCTGGTGCTAGGGCCTACTCCTGGTTAACAGGTTTATCAAATTATCCTTCATTCTGGTTTCTAATAACAACTTTGAGTAATTGGATGATAGCAGACATAAGAGTGTCAAATTGAGCTTTATAATTTATTTTCCAAAGTGATAAATTTACTTTGACAGACAAATCTTGATTAAAAGTAAAAAAAAAAAAAAAAAAGACAAGTTATGACAAAAAATAATTCTGTTATGAATACCAATTTAAAAAGCTGAAATGTATTAATATCTTGCATGATTCATTATAGAGGTATTTCTGGTTGCTTTTCTAAATAGCTTTGTAGGATTTGAAAAACAGGGAAGATAAGAAAAATTTAAATTTATTGCAAATTTCATTCTCCGCTTTGCCTTCCTCCACTTCTATTCTCTTCTTTTCCTCAACCCCTCCTATTGCCTGCTTCTTCCTCCAAAATAAAATCATATCTCCTTGCATTTTTGTGCCATTTTTTTCTGAAGTAATTTTTTGCATCTTTTTTTTTTTACTTACAATAAACCAAAAGTTTTTCATTTCTTTGAAACTACATTTCTAATTGTTTACATTTCTAAATTGTATTGTGTTTCAGTGAGTTTTCTTATGAGTTGTTTTGCTTCAAAAATTCACTTTCAACTTTAAGACTTGAAATTTCAGTGGAAATTTGGTTTATAAAAAGGCTACATCACAGTCAGTTTTAACTTTAATATGATATGTGTACTTGAACAAAAGTATAACTCCTTTTTTTTCCCCCCTCCTTCCTCCATCCCTTTCCTTAAGGAATCAGCAGGCGGGGATCTTCAGTCTCCTTTAACACCCGAAAGTATCAATGGGACAGATGATGAAAGAACACCTGATGTGACACAGAACTCAGAGCCAAGGGCTGAACCAACTCAGAATGCATTGCCATTTTCACATAGGTACAGATTCAATTCACCAATCATGATTAAGTAAAATGTGTAAATATGGAAGTTTGTTTGGTTTCAGAAACTCTGAAGTTACTTCAGAACTCATATCCTCTGAGTGAAAAATTCCAGGTCAGACTTCTTTTAATGTATTGTTTATAGTTGCCTGGATGGGTCAGAGTAAACATTTCCTTTACCTATGTAGAAAAAGGAGTATTGGGCTGGGGTTGTAGCTCAGTGGAGGTGCGCTTGCCTAGCATGTGTGAGGCACTAGGTTCGATTCTTAGCACCACATACAAATAAATAAAATAAAGGTCCATCGACAACTAAAAAATATTTTTAAAAAAGAAAAAGGAGTATTAAGCTAGTTACAGAGAAAATGTTTTTCAGTGAAACAAAATACTGTTAATCCCTTCTATTTTTAAAACATAGCCCCTTAAAGGCCTCTTTTGTTAGCCTGGTTTCTTTTAAATTGTATTTTTTTTAAATAGATTTTCCATTCTGAAATTAGGCTTTACCTTAGTCTTAGAGGTAATATCATCACATGATTTCAAAGGAAGAAAGAGGAGAAACTTCTAGCATAGTAGATTTATGTTTGGACACCAATAGGAGATAATACTTCATTTGCTTTTCTGAATTTTAAAACAATTTGATACTCTAAAAAGACAGTTTGTCCTAAATGTGTTCCAAACTAGTTACATTGATTATTGGTCATACTGTGGTATTTTTAGAATATAAGGAAATCTATGACATTGTAGCATTGCAGATATAAAACAAATATCTATCAGTAATCTGTCTTAAAGTTAATTTATATCTTTCCTTGAATGCTTTTCACTCAGTTTTGGTTAAAATTAAGGAAACAGTCTTCTTTTATTGCATATGTTTTTTTGGGTTCCATTATTTAAAAAATCTCATTCTTTGGCATATAAAGAATTGTGAAGTGAGGTATTTCAAACTCATTTATAAGAATCTTAATTTTGATTGAAATTTGTTAAATATTAGGGACATAGGATTGAGTATAGTAGAGTATAACATTAAGAGACCTCATGATCAGAGTGAAAAAGAAGAAAAATGAGAGAGTTTTTTTAGGAATGAGTAGAGAGGAGAACTATTTGTGAAGCTGTTCCCATTTGTTGCTCAAAATGCTAATAATTTTATATTAAACATGTATTCTGGAGTTAATGGATTTTATGCTTTATCTGCTATAGTATAAACATTTTTATAGCTATAAAGATGATTACACATGGGAAAATTTTTAGTTCCTCTAATCTGAAGACTTTATGATTTGTTAAATATATAGTCTTTTAACAAAACTAAAATGTTTTACATTTCCTTCTTTTAATAAAAATATATTTAACATATCCATATAATAGACTTAACTGCACTAAAATAATTGTACTTGATTTCTTTAAATTTAATTTCTTTAAATTTAAATTGAGATATCTGCATTGAATACTGTGACAATTAGAAATAAAAACTTTAAACATTTGTAAAAGTTATTTCTAACTTATATACCTAAAATTTTCTAAATTTTTACTTTGTTAGTTCTTGTACTTGGCATTACTTATGAGGAATTAGACTTTATCTAACTGACTGTGTTCTTGGGAATCACTTTGATTTGAAGATACAGCTTCTTTAGTTAGGGAATTTATAGATTAGCCAGGGAGATACTTGACAGACCTCTGATTGTGTTAAAGGCATTATAATCTTAAAAGTTTTTCTTATTAAGAGTACTTGACTATAGGATTTTTAGAAGATTGATTCTCTGAACTTGTTTTAATTTTATATTAATAAATTTTCAGCCAGTTACTTGACTGAAAACAGATTGCCACCTGAGGTAGATCATATTACAGCTAACGTTAGAATCCTAGCCTGTCAGAGATAGAAGGAAGAGACCTCGAAGATGATGTAATTCAGAATTTTCCAAACTGTGGTAGTTTGAAATCAGTTTAATGCATTATTTATGGGGTCCTGAAAATGAAATCAAGTAGAAAATAGGAGAGTAATAGTAACATTAAGAGTGAAAATTAGGGGACTGGGGTTGTGGCTCAGTGGTAGAGCGCTTGCCTAGCATGTGCGAGGCTCTGGGTTCAATCCTCAGCACCACATAAATATAAATAAAATAAAGGTATTGTGTCCAAGTACAACTAAAAAATAATTTAAAAAGGTAAAAATTGGGTCAGTGGTCCATGACTCATGGCTGCAATCCTATCTACTGGGGAGACTGAGACAGTAGGATAGCAAATTTGAGACCAAGCTCTAACTTAGTGAGACCCTATTTCAAAATTTTGGGAAAAAATAAAAGTGGCCTGGGAATATAGCGCAGTAGTAGAGCACTTGCCTATCATGCATAAGGCCCTGGGTTCAATCCCCACCACAAGAAAAAGAAAAAAATAATAGAAACTATTTTACTAATCTGCATATCTACATATATACATGTGTGTGTGTGATTACAGTGTAAAATGTTCCAAGTTCAAAAGTATGTGACTTTGGCTTGTGAGAAGATTAAATCCCAGCATTTAGGAGAGTGTCCTAGATAATATAGTTCATTAGTAAAACCTGAGAGTTGACAGCTCAGCTCTTTTGACCCTAATATGTGCTGTCAGTCAGTGAATAGTATATTTAAGTCAAATACCCAGCAAAGAAATAAGTGTTTCATGAATTAGAGACAAAGAATATTAGAAAAAAATTTTATTCAAATCCGAAACTCCCAAGTATTTAAATTGGATATTCTTTTTTTATCTCCCCATGGCAAAAGAAGACAATTAAAATCTTATGTTTTTAAGGCTTACATTATTTTTCATTCCTTCCTCAGTACTTGTTTGAAAAAATAATATCAAAAACAGTTTTGCCAATATTTTTCTCCTGGTTGATATTATTTTGCTGCAGTATAGAGAGCAAAGTAACTAGGATAGCTATATATTTTTTAAAAAACCAAAACATGGAAACAGTGATGTAGCCTGTCAATTTGACTGATGACTGCAATAGTAGGTACTTGTGCTCTTCTTAAAATTCAAATTTTATTCCTAAATCTCATTAATTCATTAATTTATATACTAAAAGAAGACCTTGATTTTCATTTAGCCCTGAAATTTTGGGTGATGTGATTAATGTGGTTATTTTTGTTCTTTACTTTTTGTAGGCTTTATTTATTTTAAAAATGTTATTGCATAGCTGCAGAGAGATAAGCAGGATTTTTTACTTTTAATTTTAATTATAACCTTTTATTACAAAAAATTTAACCATATGAGACAGAATAGTGAACTCCTGTGAACATATCACCCAACTTTAATTGGCATGAAAATACGACCAGTCTCATTTCATCTCATCCACCTCTATTCATCTACCACTGTATCATTCTTAAAGTAATTTCCAGACATTTAATTTCATCCACATAGTTCTTAAAATTAGTTTTTAACTTTTAAACATTTATGTACTAAGCTATTACAACTTTTTGTGTTTATTTCATTCAGTGGCATTATAGGTCACCTCGAATCATGTATTACTTTCTCTCTGTGTGTGTGTGTGTGTGTGTGTGTTCTGGGGATTGAACCCAGGGCCTCATGCATGCTAGGCAGGCACTCTACCATTGAGATATATTTCCAGCCCCACTTTCTTTGATTTTTAATTATACTGCTGCTTAACTAAATTTTATATGTTATGAGCTGCTCAATACTTCTTAGTCAAGTGCTATTGTATTGTTTTATGTTAGTGTCATAACTATGCAAAAATACCTTCATCAAATAAGATTCAGTGAATTCTTTCTTTTTTTTTTGAATTATTTCTTTTTGAGTGTACGTCTCTAAATGTTTTTAAAAGTTTAAAAATATGTAAAATAGATGAATCACAAGGTCAAAACATTTACTAATTTCTTTAGGGAAATGATATTTTCATCTAAATTGTTTCTTTCTTTAAAAATTACTTTTAACCTAAATGATAAAGTCCTTTTGAGATTGATAAATATATATTGACCCACTGAAGTCTTCAGACCATCCTTTGAAATAATAGTCTTAGATTAGCTATAAAGTAGGTATATCCTGATAGATAGCATATGTGTATGCAGGAAATCTTTGCTCTCTTGCCAGGGATTTTTTGGTTGCTTCATAGTGTCCACTGAGTGGAACTCTAGAATATACTTGTGTTTTTCTTACAAATAATAAATAATAGATATTTTTAAAAGATTTAAAGCTACCTAAAATTCTCTTTGATATAGTTAATTTTATAGTATTCCAGTGCTGTTGAAATCTAACACTGAAATGTAATACTGAAAACTTATTTTGCTCATTACAGTTTTATGATCCTTAGATATTCAGTACTATACTGATAAATAACTGCTATCATATTTTTGAGAGTTCACAACAGACATATAAATTGGTGAAGTTATTTTCATACTGGTAAATTTTGATAACAGTTTGATAATTGTAATGAAAAATAGGCTCTTTTATGCACTAATTATATTTAGATTCTTCTAATGTTTAGATGATGTGTTCTCATGGTGCTGTTAGACTTTATGCATTTTGGAGGTACTGCATGTGTCTTCTATTCTGTTAGAGATTTTTCTACCACTCAATGTAGTTGTGTTTCCAGCAGATACTCATTAAAGGATGTATGCAGAAATATTACTTTCTAGTATATTGACTTTAAATCAGTGTAACTATAATTTTACATAAGGTTATGACATCTGGGTGGGTTTGCTCTATTTGTGTTTATTTTTAAAGTTTCAGATAGTCACTACTTTAAAACTGATTTAGGCATGTTTCTGTCATTTCAAAAACTAAACTTCACTGGGAATTTTACATACCAGTTTAAGTAAGACATAAAACAAACTTACCAAAATAAATATAAAATATTTGTGCTTAACAAAATAAAGCCAGGTGTGGTAGCTCACGCCTGTAATCCCAGCAGCTTTGGAGACTATCAGGAGGATCACAAGTTCAAAGTCAGTTTCACCCAAAGCAAGGTGTTAGGCAACTCAGTGAGACCCTGTCTCAAAATAAAATAAAAAATGGGCTGGG